TTGTCTTCCATGAAAAAATTATGGTTGTACAGCAGGTCCTCAAATAACCTTTCACTCAACATCATTTCTTGGGAACTTGATGAGGCAAAAAACATTTCAGGCTGAAGTTGCTATAAACAGCATATTCCAGGACCTAATTTCATTATATAGAGCTTCACTTCAAGTTGCAGTTTTCCAGAAACGATCTATGATGTTAACAGAACTTCCTGTACCTCAGCCCGAGTAATTGGGTGGCAGTAAAAATCAAATGAGCTAATACCTGCAAAGCATTCACAACAGAGATGGGTATACAGTAATCACTCAATACATTTAAATTATGATTATGATCACTTTCATATTCAGGATGTTCGCAAATTGTTTAACATCCCGAATCCAGTGATAATCGAATGTATTAATAGTGCATTTGACCACCCTCCACCTCTAGGTATCATCCTTACTACTACTGAGCTTCTTTTTCTTTTAGTTTGGGGCCACAGCAGATGGTGCGATGGTGGTTCAATGCTTATTCCTGGCTCTGTGCTCAGAGGTAACCCCTAGCAGTGTTTGAGGACCTTATGTGATGCTAGGGATAAAACTGGGGCCAGCCATGTGCAAGACCTGCACCTTAACTCTAGCAACTGCAAGACCTTATCTACTCCTGATTATGCAAGCATCATGTACCTGTGTCCCACAACACTTCCCTACCCACCTACCCATATTTCCTGCTTCTCTCTCCTATTTTGGGTTAAGCAACATCCCAAAGACAGAAAACAGTTATTGTGAAGTCAATTTCTTCATCAACACAGTGAATCAAAGAGACCTCCAGAGTAGATGGGATGTGGTTAGCACACCCGAGGCCTCCTGCAAAACCTTTTTACTGCCTTCACTGAGGTGTTGCATGAGGATTGCTGCCCAAAAGACACTATCGTGATCTTTCCTGAGTTCCTCCTCCTCCTGACAAGATGGGCTTCTGAGAAGAGAAGTCTGTCAAGGCCTGAAGCCTCCAAGGTAATGCTCTTGATTTCCTCTCCACAGAAAAAGTGCTCTTTCTTCTATGATCTGTTAAAGGTGGCACCTCCTATGCGACTGCGGATATCTGAAAGTTTTTAGTTGGTTTGCAACATAGAGTTTTAGAACATTTTACTTTGAGCACGGCTTTCCCTTAGCATTTGATTGTTGCCTGGTGCCAGGGTAAAAAATAATAGATATAATTATGCATGTTTTTTAAAAACAAAGTATCTATGTGCGCACTCTATCTCTCTCTCTCTCACTCTCTCTCTCTCTCTCTCCACACACACACACACACACACACACACACACACATACATACACCCTTAGATAGTTTGAATTCATGTGTCTGTGCCTGAATTTGGGTGTGAGCTCTGGTAAGAAGAGAGGGATTTGGAGAGTGAGTTTCAAAGGGAGGGTATCAAGAAGAGATACTGTAGATAAGGTTACCAGAATTGGGTTCCTTGCTTTTCAAGTTGCTGGTTGTGTGGCTTTGGGCAAGTTACTTAACTCCTGTTAGTTCCTTTCCTTATTCCTAAGATCACAAAAATAAATCTATAGGGATTGAGAACTAAATAAGTTAGCCACCCCTCCACCCCCTCCCAAATTTTTTTAGAATAAGGTCTACAACATGAAGTAACATGAAGTAGAAAAGAGATGGAACTGGCCCTTAAACATTATCTATACTTCATCTATTCAAAACAAAAGATAACTTGACCAAATTGTGGAACAGGTTAATTTTACCCGAAGCCTGAAAATCTATCTTAAAAAGTCAAATAATGGGACTAGAATAAATTGTTTCTCTCTGAACTCTCAGGAGTTTCTCAGTGTGAGAGACTTCAACCCTTGCAAATAGAGAGGGTTGAACAAAAAACTAGACTGAACTTTGCTGTAGAGAGGGGACAGGAATGAAAGTGGAGACAGACACTTGTAAGGAACTGTGAACTGGAAAGATGCCTTCAACTCACATAACTTCCACTGTATTAGATGCTTTATCTTGGATATAGACATATTTCCTGTTGGATATCATTTAGGGCCGTGATATTTAGCACGGGAGAGTCTCATTGCGACATTCTTACAAGTATACCTCTTGTACAAAAGACATTTGACACTCGTTAGAATTTATAAATTTTAAAAATCTCCCTCAATTTTTGCATATTTTTGAGCATGGGAAATGAGAGTTCCTTGTCATGTCACGTCTATCTCTAAAATGACAGTGTTCCTTAATGCTAGCATGAATATTGATATTTGTGTGAAACTTTTGAGGGGGTAAAGTAGCAACTGGAAATATGATTAAAATTAAAATGTGTTCTGACCATTTTCTCGTGCATTCCATGATTTGTTTCCATACTTCAATAAATGACATTCCCCTCCCATAATAGAGCATTAACAATATGAATTTTATCCCCCCCAAAGCATTATGTATTAACTTTGACAAAATTAATAAAGTGATTAAAGTGGATCTGTGAAATAATTTCCAGCAAAAAGTAAAAATTTAGACACTATTCTAAATACAAAGCCTATCATTTTGGCAAAATGGGCTTATAATTAATTCCCACCACCTACTCCATTAGTTATAAAAGAAAATAAGCACTTTATAATCCTTTGAGGAAACTTTGTACCACGTAGTTATATTGCTCAAGTTAAGGTATATATGTATATCTAGCACATTCTTTTGCCGTAATAACTGAAATGGTTGATGACCTTTATGCACAATACTTTGGGGTGCTTTTTTTTTTTGTCAAAAAGACAGTAGTTATTAGGTCAACATTTCTCCACTATTCATTAGATTAGGCACTGCATATATCATCAAAGTTTACCTTTGCAATAGGAATGCTGAATTAAATTATAAGTTATGAAAAAGGAGGTTTCTTCTACTAGATTGTATAATTTTGATGCAGATGAGGCAGAAATGGCAGCAGCGGGTCTCTGTTCATTCACGATTCCCAGGTTTTTCAATATTTTCAAGAATTGAATAATAAAGATACTCAGACTGAGAGTTGGAAAGCAGAAGAGTTTATTGGAAAGTAGAGGAGAAAATAGGAAGCTCACTGAGTGGGGAAGAACTTAGTATAGGATTAAGTTAGGGTAAGGGAGTTTAGTGGAGGCCTTTTTTGTTTTTTGTTTCAATTCTGTAGCTCAATTTTATTTTTTGTCTTTTGACAGTTTATATTTATTTTATTTTTTAAATTAAATCACCATGAGATACAGTGACAAAGCATTCATGTTTGAGTTTCAATGATACAATGACCAAACACCCATCCCTCCACCAGTGCCCATTCTCCACCAATGTCCCCAGAATACCCCCCCTTTGCCACCCTTCCCTGGCCTCCATGGCAGACAATTTCCCCCATACTCTCTCTCTACCTTTGGGAATTATGATTTGCAATACAGATACTGAGAGGCCATCAGGTTTGGTCCTTTATCTACTTTCAGCACACATCTCCCATCCAGAACAATCCCTCCAGTCATCATTGACTTAATGATCCCTTCTCTATTCCAGCTGCCTTCTCCCCCAGCTCATGAGGCAGGATTCCAACTATGGGCAGTATTCCTGGTCCTTGTGCCTACTGTCCTTGGGTGTCAGTCTCATATTATGCTATTTTATATTAGTGGAAGCCTTTTTAAGGGCTCTTGGTATCCCTTATGCATTGGCAAATGTTTGCAAATGATGCCAGAAAATCATAAGGATGCCTAGCTGATCTGCATCTTTCTGGGAATTCTTGCCCCTTATCTGAGTCTCCCTGTCAGCGTAGGCTCCAGGACAGAGTTTTGTGGTCCTAGAAATCTCTAGGACTGCTGGGACAGGACTTTGGGAATGAAATGTTTCAGGTCTATGGAGTAAGGTGGCAAGATGGATAACTGTGACTTCCTTCTTTACTGGCAAGATGAAAGAAATCTCCCATGCCTAATTATCAATTATCTAAGTTTTCCCGTCAGCCTAGACTCTAGAATTACTCATTATCTTAGTTTCCCTTTCAACTTAGAGTCCAGTGCAGAGTTTTATGTATCTGGGAAGCCTGGGGAATGATGAGACAGAACCTTGGGGGTGGAATGTGTGGCAGGTTGATAGGGGGAGAGATGAAATATCTGGAGAGAGGAAACAGGCTTTCTCTATCAAGTTACAAGGGGCAACTCAGGCTTCCACTTTCAATTTTAAGTGACCAAATTTGGATTTGAATGTCACTCCTTTCTTCTGCTTCAACTCTTTCCATAGTGCTCATTAGCTACATACAAAAAGGTATCTTCTCTATAGTAATTTATACAATGTCATTATTTTTAAATGTGAGACCTTAATGTCTCTGGTAAAACAGGAAGTCATTAATGAGTTGTATAAGTTAAAGTTACTCAATCCATCTATGCCTTAGTATTTGCCTCTTTAAAATAGAAATGAGGCTGGAGCAACAGTATAGCATGGCCAGCCTGGATAACTCTTGAGTGGAGAGCCAGAAATAACCCCTGAGTGGGGCCCAAAAGCCAATAAAATAAAACAAGAATGTAACAGAGAGATGATGGGAAAATAAAATGCATGAATGCAGTCACAGACACTAGGCAGTGCCTGGCACATAGCAGTTAGTACTTAATAAATGACAGTCATGGGTATCACGGGAGTGTGACTAAGGCAATTTTCTTCACATATGTACAATACCACTGTAGAGTGAAACCATAGACATGATTGGGTGGGATTTCTTGGAAGAGGGACAGGCACTACAGAGAATACCAGTGCTTGTCAAATTAAAAAGGAAGTGCTCTTGGCTACTCCAAAGTTAAGCAGAGTAATCAGGCTTTTTTAAAAAATCTAGTGAATTAAGTCCATCACTCCAAAAGCAATGGAATAAAATGAGGCAAAACCTCCAATATTTAGCCCCTCTCCCACCTTGTGCCCCTCGTGGAGGATCCTTTTGAAATTAGGATGAGCGCTAAGTTCTCCCGTTATATTAAACAGTGGTTGAAAGAAAAACACTGAAGCTTTGGATCTCTTTTCTCTAAGGCCATCCAGCTGTCAAGCTCCCATGGCCTCCCAAGAAACTGATAGTGCAGAGCAGGGCACAGCCCCAGAAGCTGGTAGCCCAGGGAGCAGGGCAGAACCAGAGGAGGTGAACGCTTCTACCTACCAGCCTATTGACGAACCACTCAAGTACCAGATGGAAACACAAGCCCTTGGGGTGAGTCCGTTTTTGTTAAAAAAAAGGTTTTAGACACCATGACCACTTGGCACCTGTATTGCAAACCATAATGCACAAAAGGAAAAGGAGAGAGAGAGAGAGAGATCAAGAAGGAAAGTGCCTCCCATAGAAGGAGGCTTGGGATGGGAGGTGGGGGATGGGAGGGAAACAGTGGGAGATGTACACTGGTGGAGAATGGGTGCTGGATCATTCATTGTACGACTGAAGCCCAATTATGAACAGTTTTGTGATGGTCTATCTCATGAACACTCAATTTAAAAGGTTTTAAAAAATTTTAAAAATGGGTTTAGGATAGAACAAAATAAATATTATGAAGCCTAAGTGTTACGGAATCAAAATCTGGAGGTTTGCTGCTAAAAAAGCTAATACCTGAGAACACGAGAATAGTTGTGTATGAACAGTTGTACTCAATTTGAGAAAGTGGACTTGGTTTTTTTTCACCAAATCATATTACTCTTAGGTTGGAATAAGAGGTTTATATGGAGCCGATGAGGAAAAGAAGTGGGAATAAAAACTGGGCAAGGGGGGAGGGGGGAGGGTTTCAGTCTTGTTTGTTCAGCTGGAGTCAGTGCTGAGGGTTTCAGTTCCTGACAAAGCCTTGAGGAAACATTGTTAAACAACAGATTCCTGGCAAACCCTTGAGAAAACATTATTAAACATCAGATTTTTCCGGGGAGCCAGGTGATAGCCCTCAGGGATTTCTTTGGTGTTTGTGATTTCCCATCCTGGACCTAATTTTAACATTTAGTGACTTTAACAAATGCAAGAGAGCAACTCTCAGTTAATGGGAGAGAGGGTTAAAATCTAGGGGGAATGACAGGCTATAAGAAGTATACGTGGGACCTAATTTTAACATCAAGTGAGTTTATTTTTTGTCTTTCTCCTATGACTTATTTTTTTTATAATTTTATTTTATTGAATCACCATGAGATACAGTTACAAGCTTTCATGTTTGAGTTACAACCATACAATGTTCAAACACCCATCCCTCCACCAGTGCACATTCCTCACCACCAATCTCCACAGTATAGCCCCCTTTTCCCACCCTCCCCTGCCTTCATGGCAGACAATTTCCCACATACTCTCTCTCTACTTTGGGGCATTGTGGTTTGCAACACAGATACTGAGAGATCATGACTTTTGGTCCTTTATCTACTTTCAGCACACATCTCCCATCCCGACCAATCCTTCCAACCATCATTTCCTTTTTTTTTAAATTTTATTGAATATGAAAAAATTTTTTATTGAATCTGCCTCTCTTGCAAATCACAGGACCCAAAAGGAGAGAGAGAGAGAGAACAAAAGGGAATGCCCTGCCACAGAGGCAGGGAGGGATGGGGGGCATGGGGGGTAGGAGGGATGATGGGATCCGTGGTAGTGGAGGATGGGCACTGGTGGAGGGATGGGTACTTGATCACTGTATAACTGAAACCCAAGCACAAAAATTTGTATTTCTATAACTGTACCTCATGGTGTTTCATTAATTAAAAAAATAAATAAAAAAATAAAAAAAATAAATTTTATTGAATCGCCATGAGATGGTTACAATCACACAATGATCAAACACCCATCCCTCCACCAGTGCACATTCCCTTCCACCAATATCCTCGGTATATGCCCCCTTTCCCACCCTCCCCCTGCTTCCATGGCAGACAACATTCCCCATACTCTCTACTTTGGGGAATTATAGTTTGCAATACTGACACTGAGAGCCAACCATCATTTTCTTAGTTATCCCGTCTCTATTCCAGCTGCCTTCCCCCCTGCCCCCCTTGCTTATGAGACAGGCTTCAAACTATGGAGCAATCTTCCTGGTCCTTGTGTCTACCATCCTAACATCAAGTGACCTTAACATTAAATGCAGGAAGGAGAGCAACCCTCAGTTAATGGGAGAGAGGATCAAAGTTTAGGGTGAATGACAGGCTGTAAGAAGCATAGATGTGGAGCACAGAAGGAATCTGGAATGCATGCTCACTTTCCTAAGGGGGAATTTCGGAAGTACTTGTTACTGAGTCAAGGATGTTGCAGCCTTATGAAAAGATTAGAATGTATTTGAGACCTGGAAGCACCATCTCATGGTAGAAAACATACCAATACGGGAAAATGGACTTTTAAATCTGATCATCTCCAGTGGAAGACTGAGCTCTATATTAAAAGATTTAAACTGAGGGCAAAGTCATGTAGGGAACTGCTTAGCATCTGTTTGCCCTCAACATATTTTGCCTTGAAAACGTGCTGAGATTATTTGATCATTTTCATTTTATTTTTTTTATTGGTCCTATCTTCTTTGCTCTTCTTCCACTTTCTGAAAGAACTTGAGAGTGAACAGAAATAGAGAGCTGAAGATGAAGGGATCCCCAGGAATTGATGGCTTTATAGCAAGGAACAAAATTTCCCAGGGTGCACTCTTGCCCAATTAGCTTAATTACTTAATCACTTAACTTCCCATTAGTGTCGATTTGCTCGAGCGGGCGCCAGTAACGTCTCCATTTGTCCCTGTCGCGAGCTAGTATAGCCCAATGGCATCTGTTCGCTCTGGGAACATGAAGAGCCTCAAACCGATCGTTCATGATCTTGACGAAGAAGTCTGACCATCTGGTAGGTGGGCGGCCACACGGTCTTTTGACATCCCGTGGAATCCAGTCAGTAACAGCTCTAGTCCAGCAGTCGTCTTTAAATCTCATTACGTGACCAGCCTATCTGATTTTTGACACTTTGGCAAATGAGACAGCGTCCCTGATTCTTGATCGTCGATGGATGTCGGAACTCCGGAACTCCAATTAGCTTAGGCATAAATTTTAAACCAATTTGAATACTGACATTTTTTTTAGAATTTTCTAAGTAAAGTTAATGTCTTCTCAATGTACACTGGGATATGATCTGATCATTCTGTCACTTTTTTTTTTACTTTCCAGGCTGTCCAGATCCTAACTGGCGTACTGGTTCTGGCTCTTGGTGCTGTACTAGGCATGCTACAGTACCTATCGAATCTCCGACATGCCTTTTTCTTTACCTTCTACACAGGGTACCCATTCTGGGGTGCTGTATTTGTAAGTATGAAATTCCCCAGAGCATACAGAATTTCTTAGATACCACAGCTAGAAATGTTATTATCAACATATAACTCTCAGGTTATTTGAAAAAAAAAACAGTAGCATGTCAAAATAATAATTGAACACTGGGTAGGTAGAATTGAACACTTAGACCTGTAAATGATATTTTAAAACATTTATTCTAATTAATTAGACCCTGACAGGAAGCTTGGGTAGGAGGAGGATGATATTATACATAACATAATAATATAAATAAGTGTTTATATTTTATATAAACATAAGGATAAAGGCAATTGCATAATATTTTATTTAGTATATATTAAATGTATACCCACAAAACTTGTAAAAATAAAAATGAAGTGATTACTCAAAAGATAAATAATTAAAACTACTTTAATTTACATTGAATGATGAGCAATATCAAGCATAATTTTTGCGTTCTGGGATTTGAATTTTTTTTTAAGTTTGCATGGTGTATGTTGATAAAAGGGAAGGCCAAGAAAAAACAGTGGAGAGTTCTTTATCTGTTTCATTTCCCTTTTTAAACAGTATATTAGTTCAGGATCCATCACTGTTGCAGCTGGAAGTAAACCCACAAAAACATTGGTAAGAGGCTGTTCTTCCTCTTTCACTATGATCAAAAGAGTAGAAATATGTTTTTCCATTGACAGTAGGAGAATTAAGATTGATGAATCCAACTGATGCAGTGTCATTTAAAGAGAAAAATTTCTTACAGTATTCAGATGGTAAATCACCAGAATAGCATTCAGGGAGTATATGCAACTATTGGCATGATTACTCAGAATATCTGATGCATCTAAAACTTAGGAAAAAATTTTCTTGATCCTTATTGGGTCACTAAATTTGACCAAATCTAATTATTTCACATGAATTCCCACAATTAGTTCCACAACTGAGATCAGAAATTCTCTTCTTTCTGTGATTTCTTAAATAGAGATAAATTTCTATAATACGTTCTCACTAAATCATAAATTTCTCTTTTTTTCCCCTCCTCAATACACTCTACTCCTCCCTAGGTGACTATTCATATACTATCTCCAACACCAATTATTTGATCATTTTCATTTTATTTTATTTTTTGTTGGTCCTATCTTCTTTTTCTTTTATTCTTACTCTCTGCTGATAAACTTGCTTTCTGTTCTGAGAAAACACAAGCCATCAGAAGGGAACATTCAGGTCCTCACCGCAACCTCAACTTCCTGGACCAGATCTGCATCAGTAGTTTTTCATTTTAGCCTTTTTCCTTAGGTGGTCCCTTTGCCATCTTTATAAAAGACAGTCCCATCTACACTACTCCTAGATTCCGTTGCTTTTTCCTACACAAGTGCATCAGTCATCTGTCTTTACTAGCTATTAAATCAGCCTGTAAGCAACCAATTACTGCTTTTACCTTATAAAACTAGACCTTATTTTCTGCTTCTGACTCCAGCTTGCAGATTATTTAGATTTCTAAGCCCTGGTTTTCAGTTCCTCTCTAAATAGTTTCTACCAAGCCCGTTCCTGGACTTTACTTTCTTCACTAACACACACCTCTGTAACTGTTCTCTTTAAGGTCACCTATGTTTTCTATGATGTCAACAATCATCAATCATCAATCTTGTTCTATGAACAGTGTTTAGCACACAGTTGGTGTGTTCCTTCTTGCAATACTTTTTATTTGACTTTCAGGATGCCTTTTTATTTCATTTTTAATTAGCTTATTTTCCTCCTTTTCTCTTAGTTTCTCTGTAGCAAACTCATTTTCCAATTCTTTTTTTCTCTCAATTTTTTTTTTACGTCCTGCTGTGCTCAGGCCTTGCTCCTGGCTCCATGCTCAGGGACTGCTTTTGGTGGTGCATATGTGGTTGGCCATATGTGGTGATGGCAACTGAACCTTGATGGACCTGTGCAAGAGAAGTATACTATCTGAGGCAGATTGAAAGGGGAGGGTCTATGGCAATGGAATTTCTGAGAAGTAATAAATTCAGTAACACTGAAGCTGCAAGAATTAAGGCCTAGGCCTGATAAGATCTTCCTGGAACCAGTGATGATCCTGAGGAGGCTGGACCCCACAGAGGCACAAGCTTCAGCAGAGACAGAGACACAGTTAAGGACCTGAGGGAGATTTGGCACCTGATTGACCCCCACCTCTTCCAGAAAATCTCCAGATCAAGGCAACCCCCCTTGGCAGCCGCTCTAATAATGAACTCTTACCTAGCTAGAAGTCCCCACATGGGGACAGGGTGGAAAAACTCTATAAAAGTTACCTTGAGGGGTTGGAGCAATAGCACAGTGGGTAGGGCATTTGCCTTGCATGCGGCCAACCCGAGTTCGATTCCCAGCATCCTATATGGTTCCCTGAGCACCACCGGGGGTAATTCCTAAGTGCAGAGCCAGGAGTAACCCCTGTGCATCGCTGGGTGTGACCTAAAAAGCAAAAAAAAAAAAAAAAAGCTACCTTGAACAAAGGAAGGGTGTGCATATACTACCTGAGCCCAAGTACTGCTTGTGCCCACATGGCCAAGCACATCAGGTGCCTGAGCACATGTGGTGCCCTCATCTCCCCTTTTGAGATGTTTACTGAGGCTCTCTCTCCAGCTTTGGAGAAGCCCACCTTCTCCCTTCAAACGGTTCTCTCTCTCTCTCTCTCTCTCTCTCTCTCTCTCTCTCTCTCTCCTTCCTATTCCTAAAAAACCTCCAGATAAGGTTTGTTTTACCTTCACTGCTTGTTCGTTCCTGAAATTCTTTTCTGAGAGCTAAGACAAAAACTTGAAAACCCTGGGTCAGATTTAGGGCTGACTTGCCTTTCCTGCAAAAACCACTTCCTCACTCCAGTCTGAGCGAGGTGAGGCTCAGAGTCTTCATGGTTCAGAGGTGGTGGGAATTAACTCCTGTGCTGGCTCAGAAGACAGGTGTGGTTTAGTGTGGCTCGGTGGGGCTCTGGCCTGTGCCATGTAGGGGCTCATCCTCAGACTTTACCTGTCCTAGCCTTCTCATCCGGCCTTGGGGTGACAGAAACAGATCTGGAGAAAGTGACCGTCTCTCCTTCCCACTTCACACATGCCACCCATGGAGACCCACTGGCTTCATATCTGCTGTACTATTGCTCCCAAACATTTTAATGTTGGATTCCCTGAGCTCAATTCTTTGTGATCTTCTCACTCTCTGGTGGTCTCCTGCATTCTCATATGTTTGAAAAACATCTGTCTCCATAACCTTGAAATAAATATTTCAACCTGATCTCTCCTAAGCCCCAACTAATATATCTGTAGCACTGTAGCACTGTCCTCCTGTTGTTCATCGATTTGCTCAAGCAGGCACCAGTAACGTCTCCATTGTGAGACTTGTTATTGTTTTTGGCATATTGAATAAGCAACGGGGAGCTTGCCAGGCTCTGCTGTGAGGGTGGGCTCTGCTGTCGGTAGCTTGCCGGGCTCTCCGAGAGGGACAACGTGTTACCACTGCGTGGTTCCACTAGGGCTCGAACCCAGGACCTTCTGTGTGTAAAGCAGACGTGACTGTAAAATAGATAGAAGTGCCCAGAGATAGTACAGTGGGTAAGGCACTTGCCTTGCAGCAATGATCCAAGTTTGATCCTTTCCACTGCATTTGGTCCCTGAGCCCTGCCAGGAGGGTTCCCTGAACTTAAAGTCAGGAGTAAGCCCTGAGCAGGGCTGGACATGGCCCAACAACAACAATGACAACAAACATCCAGGAAGCCAAAACTCAACTCCTCAGTCTTCTTCCTCAGACTTTCTATATCCATTGTCTGCCCCATGTCAGTGGATGGTGATTTTAGCTTTCTAATTTCTGAGGCTTCAGGATTCTTCCTTTTTCTTTCCCTGCTTCATTCCTTCTCTGCATTTCTTCTTTCTCCTCCTTTCTCCTCTTTTTCTTCTCTTTTCACCTTCTCCTAACTTGCTACCAAGTCTCCTCCTTTCTCCTTTTCTTTGATAATTTTCCCTTCCTCTTGCTCCTAACTCTCCCCATATGCCCTCCACTCTTTCTTCATCTTCTTCCTTCTTTTATTCTAATCCTCTCTTCCCTTTTCTGTCTCTTCCTGCACTTTGTCATCAAAATTCCAGTTTCCTATGTTTCAACTGCACCAAAATTGCATCTTTTCTCATCTTTATGAAGATTGCACCTCATCTCTCTTAATTGGTCTATGTGCTTCCATCCTTGGTCCTGTCTAAACTGGTCTCATTTGAGACATCAAGAGTATTCTCACTAAAATGTAAGTCTATTTGGTTACCCATTTGCTCAAAATCTCCTGGCTATTTCTCTCATTTGTTTTACATTGATAGTAAGATGTTCTTTCCATGGTCTTCAGCATCCTGTGTGATATTTTTCTGTTCAACCTCCCTCCCTCCCTCTGAATTTTCTAATTTTATCTACTCTGGTTACTCCTTTTTAGTCACATTTCCCCCATTGCTTCCCTGAAAGACTTTGGCATCAGAAATTCAACCTAAGAGTTTTCTTGACTTCAAGCACTTCCCTTAGATAGCCTTTATTGCTATTCACCTCAGCTCCTTTCTGTCTTTCCTGAAGTACCATTCCTATTTAATGACACTAAATCTACACATCTACACTCCTCCCTCTGGATTTCTGGGTCCTCCTTATTCCACTCTCTTATCCTATAATACCTAAGTCACTTAGTGAAAATGTACACTAGGGCTGGAGCCATAATATACCACATAGGTAGCTTGCCTTGCACACAGCCGACCTGGGTTCCACTGGATTCAGGTTCCATCCCCTACATCCCATATGGTTTCCTGAGCATCATCAGAAATAATTCTCGGGTGCAGAGCCAGGGATAATCCCTGAGTCTTGCAGGATGTGGCCCCCAAACAATAAGAAACATAAATTAAAATGCATCCTAGTTGGCTTATTATATGTCACTGTCTTCTGTGATATCTGTGCTTTCAATGATTTAACTGCTACTGAAATTAAGTTCCATGAGAGAGGATAGAGGGGCTCTGGCTTGCTGCTTGATGTTTGCCCAACATCTAAGATGGTATAGACAGCCTTATTCCAATTTGTTCGAATGAATAATAATCAAAGGAATGATCTATGTGGTGGCTATTTTAATCGAAAAACCTTGTTCTTTTTTAGGTGCAAAATGCCTTTGGGATAAACATTTCCAGTGCTACAATTGCACTAACCGGAATTGTTTTCCTCTCACTGAATTTAGCAGTTAATATTAAGTCACTCCAGGGCTGTCAGTCATCGCAGTCAAAGGACTTATGCATATCCATGGGATCCTCATCAACTGTATGTTTTAAAAGATAACAGTTAATTAAATTATAAAATATGTCACAAATCACAAATCATCCTGTTATTCGTCGATTGCCTCGAGCAGCCAGCGAGTTGTCACGGTGGTGGCTGTGGATGCCGGGGCTTCTGCCCTCCCCCGACCCCCTCTGAGAAGCCACCAGAGGTCTGGGCACCAGGGTACCTGAAATTATTCTCAGTTTGGCATCTCCACAGAGGATATTAGTGAAGCAGATTGAGTTGAGCCCTTGGCGTGTGGTGTGGCTGCTAAGGCTTTGGGACGGCAGGCATGTGGCCTGCCCACCTCCTAGAAGCACCCCAGAGTTTTCAGCCTAGATGACCATGTGCCCATGAAGTTTAGCTGCTTGGTTTGCATCTCCTTAGTCTTGAATCGGTAGAGCAGGGTCGGTGAGTGAGATCACATTGCAGTGGTTATCTTCAACCATTTAAATTGTACCCAATAGTGGGGTGGAGTGATAGAGCAGCAGGTAGGATATTTGACTTGCACAGAGCTGATCTGAGTTTGATCCATGCCATCTTATGTGGTCCCCTGAGCACTGCCAGGAGTGATTCCTGAGTTCATAGCCAGGAGTAACCCCTGAATATTGCTGGGTGTGGGTCCTAAACCAATAAATAAATAAATAAATAAATAACAAAATAAAATGCATCCAGTAGTTTGCTTACTGAAACTAGCTTCAGTGATTTTTTACAACTTTGTGATTTGGAATTTTCAAATAATGATTGAAATTCAGAATGATTTCACTTTTAAATTTATACTTTCAAAGGGCCCTCCCGTTGATCATCGATTTGCTCGAGCGGGCCCAGTAACGTCTCCATTGGAGACTTTGTTGTTACTGTGTCTGGCATATCGAATACTCTCGGTAGCTTGCCGGGCTCTCCGAGAGGGGCGGAGGAATCGAACTCGGGTTGGCCATGTTGGCTGCATACAAGGCAGACGCCCTACCTGCTGTGCTATCGTGAAAGTTTTTAAATAACATTTTTTTTTTTTGCTTTTTGGGTCACACCCAGTGATGCTCAGGGGTTACTTCTGGCTCTGCACTCAAGAATTACCCCTGGCAGTGCTCAGGGGACCATATGGGATGCTGAGAATCGAACCCGGGTCAGTCGTGTGCTATTGCTCCAGCCCCTTAAATAATATTTTTAAATTATTATTTTAATTTAATTATTTCCCTTTCTTAAAGATTACTCAGAAATTGATATTTTTCTTAAAATTTATGCATTTGTCTGAGATTTTTATGAATTACTTTTACTGACTCATTTCTAATACTTTTGCTAGCTGACATTCCTCATAAATCTTGATCTCTTTTGCTTTGGTATGTTTTTAATCATCTTAGCTTATCCTCGTTTGAATGGGTTTATCCTAGTTTATCCTAGTTTAAATGCATCCGATGGTATTTTTTTTTCCTGCAGAGCAATATTAATGTTTTTGTGATACCAGAAAGATTACTGGAAAATAATTTTGTGTTTAATATTTTAACTCAGTATTTTAGTTCCAGGAATCTTTGAAACACCTTTACTTAAATCTTTGAAATACTATTCGGGTAGGGCGTTCGCCTTACAAGCGGCCAACATGGCCGACCCGAGTTCGATTCCTCCGCCCCTCTCGGAGAGCCCGGCAAGCTACCGAGAGTATTCGATATCCCAGACACAGTAACAACAAAGTCTCCAATGGAGACGTTACTGGGCCCGCTCGAGCAAATTGCATTATCACAGTTTATAATAGCATTGAAATCATTCTTTCATGCTTGCCATTCAGCTACACTAGTTCCTCCACTAATGTGTTAAGATCCCTCCATCACTGCTTCTCACTGGCACCCCCCATCCCTTTAGTTCTCAGTTCCCAGTTCCCCTGAAACTGGGAGCAAATCTCAGTATTTGATCTTTGAATTACTATTAATAATTGGTGGAGAATTCATTTTGTCTGTTTCCCTGAACTGCTTACTCATGTCCTTAATATGCTATTACTTAAATTGGTAGATGTTAGTGGTAATATCAGAATTTTGCTGCTATCATTACTGTCCCCCATGATTATTTAAAATGGATTTATAATAGAAATATAACACATTTCTCCAGGGAAAATATCTTCAGTCTAATAAACTGACATTGCCGCTCTTGTAAAGAACTGCTGTCTTAAGATTAGCTTGTGGTGCATCTTGTTCTGTTTAATGAGAGCTTGTAATTTGGTTTCTCTGGGTTTGATATGAGGCATCATTTCCCCTAGGGCCTTGTGTGCCTAATGCTGATCCTGACCTTGCTGGAATTATGCATAACCATGTATATCATAATCATGTGGTTCAAAGTAAACTGCTGTGAATCAAGACAGGTGAGTTTGTTTAAATGACTCAAACTTCTATGTGATATTGTGTGGGGCTTCTGGAATTTGTTATAAAAATGCTAGAGATAAATAAACCTAGGAAAGGTGTGTGTACTTATTATTTAAGGGCACATACTTTTTTAAAAAAACTGAATCACTATGAGATTCACAGTTACAAAGTTGTTCATGATTGGGTTTCAGTCACACATGTTCCAACACCTGACCTTCACCAGTGCTTATTCCCCACGACCAATGTCTCTAATGTTCCCCCGCTGCCAGTCTGCCTCTAGGGCAGACACTTGTCTTCTTTCTCTCCAGCACACATTTATAAATTAAAATGGGTTAAAATGTAATTATTTTTATTTAAGCTGTCCATCCAGAAAGGAGAGAAATCACAGGTTATTTCTAGATTTTAGGTCTCTTAATCACAAAATGGGCATATTTTGTTCTCTTCTAATGCTTGTTGTAAGGAATGTGTAGATAACGCAGTATAGTATAAAGCATAAAGTATAAAGTATAAAGTATAGTATAAGGCATGAGTGAACACTACCCAGGACAAACATAATAGAAAGGGATAGAAGAAAAGAAAGGTGATGATCTTATTCTTGAAGATTGATGTTTTCTTTACCAGGAAACTTTCTCACTCCCATATTCAGTGGAAAAAGGAATGCCTTCTGATGGAAATAAATGAGACATCAAGAAAACACAATTTTAAATCTCCGATGAGTCACAGACCTATTCAAAAACTCAAACATGAACCCGTGGCACAAACTACGAGAAACTTTCACCTGGAAATTTTCTCAGACATCCAAGTATGAAAACATTGTGTAATAGCTTAGCATCAGGGGAACCATCTTGTCCTATGATCACCATTTTGTTCTTTCATTTTGACTTAGACCAGGACCCATGAATAGCTGCCTACAGATGTGGCTTGTGATTATGACCAGTAAGTGACACTTCCTGAGAACCGTAATTAAAGTTGGAATGCCTAAATAATCTTTAAATCCAGTGACAAGGATTTCCTGTGACAGTAAACCCCAGAAATAATCACTTATTGATCATGACCAGAAACAGCAATTTCCAAAGTGCTGACTGCAGAAATTAACCATGTGGTGGTAACTAGATTTCCCACCATTGTAGCTAAACCATTAGCTTGATGCAAATCTTCTGCTTCTGTAAATCAGCTTTCTGCTTGCTTGACACTCTAATAGAGGGATATATGGAAACCCTTAAAAGGCTGGAGAAAGTGCAAATAGACTTTTTTTTGATTTGCGTTTGATTGACAGTCACCAGCTTATAAGCACCTCAAAATTTTTGTTTCTCTGAGTCTCTGATTTGCACCCCATAACAATTGGACCTTTAACTCCATCTTTTCTGTCCTAACAATATAATTCTTTAGGAATTCTTAGTTTTGTAATGTCCATCCTCAAACTTCAAGATTGTTCCCAGAAATCTTTTCTTTGTTGTCCTCATCTATTCTACTGCCTGTAGGCTTAAAGAATAAAAGTAGAATAATTTCTATTTCAAGTTACACAGAAATGACTGCATTTTTCTTTGAAGCAGTGTCATTACAGGATCAAGATCAATGGTTACCTATTTCAGGAACAAAACTAGTGTGTATTGAAATGCTCATGTATTGAGAAATAGTCATATACTGAGTATTGACTATTCAAATACTCTTAGATACTCATAACTGACTGAAATACTTGTATATCATTAAAACATAAACACAATTATTAAATTTATAGAACAAAAAAGTACAAGATAGACTTCTGAGGTTTACCATCAATATTCTATAAAAACCTAGTTAGATATAAAACTAAAATTCCTTCGCCCCTCTCGGAGAGCCCAGCAAGCTACTGAGAGTATCTTGCCCGCACGGCAAAGCCTGGCAAGCTACCTGTGATGTACTCAATATGCCAAACACAGTAACAACAAGTCTCAAAATGGAGACGTTACTGGGCCTGCTCGAGCAAATTGAAGACAGTGTAGTGCTAGCTCCTAATCATTTTAAAGTAAAGTAAAGTAAAGGCCCTCCCGTTGATCATCCATTTGCTCGAGCGGGACCAGTAACATCTCCATTGGAGACTTTGTTGTTACTGTGTCTGGCATATCTAATACTCTCAGTAGCTTGCCGGGCTCTCCGAGAGGGGCGGAGGAATCGATCTCGGATTGGCCATGTTGGCTGCGTGCAAGGCAAACGCCCTACCTGCTGTGCTATCGCTCCTGCCCGTAATATTTCAGTTTGTATGAAACATCTGAAATATATGGGCTGGAGCGATAGCACAGCGGTAGGGCGTTTGCCTTACACGCGGCCAACATGGCCGACCTGAGTTCGATTCCTCCGCCCCTCCCGGAGAGCCCGGCAAGCTACCGAGAGTATTCGATATGCCAGACACAGTAACAACAAAGTCTCCAATGGAGACGTTACTGGGCCCGCTCGAGCAAATCGACGATCAACGGGAGGGCCTTTACCTTACCTTTACCTATCTGAAATATTGTTTCTGACATGCCCCTCTAGCCCAGAATACATACATATGTACATACATACATACGTGTGTGTATATCCCTAAAATTAAAAAAATTGTTGCCACTAGTTAATGAGCTCAGTAAAATTTCAAAATTTAAAACCAACAGAAACTAATTGTAGTCCCATACATGAAAAAATCTGCAAAAGATTGATTATTTACAATAGAATAAAAATACTAACATAGAATGATTTTAATCAAGTAAGTGAAAGATCTGCCCAATGTAAAATATTTAATTTTAAAATATTGAAGAGGGCTGGAGTGATAGCACAGCGGGTACGGAGTTTGCCTTGCACATGGCTGATCTGAGTTTGATTCCCATCATCCCATATGGTCCCCCGAGCACCACCAGGAGTAATTCCTGAGTGCATGATCCAGGAATAACCCCTGTGTAATGCTGGGTGTGACCCAAAAAGCAAAACAAAAAAAAAAGAAGATACAAATAAAAATTCTGTGTTTATGACTGGAAGAGTTAACATTGTGAAATGTTCAATATTATTCAAAACCCTATATAGAATCCATGCAATTTCTAACAAAATTTCAATCAGAGTTTTCTTTTTCTTATTTTTTTTATTGAATCACCATGAGATACATAGATACAAAATTGTTTATGATTGCATTTCATTCATAATATGCTCCAATACCTGTTCCTTCACCAATCCTGAGAAAAGAACAATTCCAGAGGCATTGCTGGACTTTTCAAATAAAACCACTAAACTATGATAAATAAAAACAGTATGCTACCAAGATAACAATTAGACACATAGATCAATGTAATAGAATAAAGTCTAGAAATAAGACCTGTGTTTACAACAAATTAGTATTTGACAAGGGAGACCAAAAAATTAATAAATGAACAAGTGAACTCTTCTCTGAGTCTATCACTGTAATCTAGACTCATCTGTTGCTTTTTGGGGGTCAACTTTCCTCATGGAAGCAAGCAATCTAGACTAAAGCATGAAGTGGATAAATGCTTTTTTGAGAAAATGAGTGATACGCTGTTCTCCACGGTTAACAATGTGAAGAGCATTGAGAGAAATTTATACAATTTATATGTAGTATATATTTTGTACATATACATATATACAATACATACATAGCATATATACATATATATACTATACATATAGTATATATTTTGTACATATACAATACATATATTGTATGTGTCCGATAAGGGGTTAATATCAAGGATATACAAGGTACTGGTTGAACTCCACAAGAAGAAACCACCCAACCCCATCAAAAAATGGGGCGAGAAAAAGAACAGAAACTTTCGCAAAGAAGAAATCCAAATGGCTAAAAGGCACATGAGAAAATGCTCTACATCACTAATCATCAGAGAGATGCAGATCAAAGCAACAATGAGATATCATTTCACACCACAGAGACTGGCCCACATCCACAAGAACAAAAGCAACCGATGCTGGCGCAAATGTGGTGAGAAAAGGACCCCCCCTTCGCTGCTGGTGGGAATGCTGACTGGTCCAACTCTTTTGGAAAACAGTATGGACTATTCTCAAAAAATTAGAATTTGATCTCCCATTTGACCCAGCAATACCACTCCTGGGAATATATCCCAGAGAGGCAAAAAAGTATAGTCGAAGTGACATCTGCAATTGTTTGTTCATTGCAGCACTCTTTACAATAGCCAGAATCTGGAAAAAACCTAAATGCCTGAGAACAGATAACTGGTTAAAGAAACGTGAAACTTTGGTACATTTACACAATGGAGTACTATGTAGCTTTTAGAAAAGATGAATTCATGAAATTTACATACGAGTGGTACTACATGGAAAGTATCATGTTAAGCGAAATGAGTCAGAAAGAGCGGGATAGACACAGAAAGATTGCATTCATCTGGGGAACATAAAGCAACAAAATGGGAGACTAACACCCAGGAGTGGCTGAGATTAGTACCAGGAATTTTGCTCCATGACTTGGAGGCCAGCCACACGTGCTAGGGGAAAAGGAAGCTCAGATAGAGAAGAGAGCACCAAATAAAGGGTGTTGTGAGGATCCTCCCAGGGTAGGAGAAGCATGCTGAAAGTAGACTATAGACCAAACATGATTGTCACTCAGTGCCTCTCATGCAAAACACAGGACCCAAAAGAAGAGAGAGAGAGAACAAGGGAGAATGCCCTGCCACAGAGGCAGGGTGGGATTGGGGGGATGGGGGGTGGGAGGGATGCTGGGACCTGTGGTGGTGGAGGATGGGCGCTGGTGGAGGGATGGGCACTTGATCATTGTATAACTGAAACCCAAGCACAAAAATTTGTAAGTCTATAACTGTACCTCATGGTGTTTCACTAATAAAAAAATAATTTAAAAATTCAGTTGCATAGTAAAAATGCATGGCTATAATAGTTGATAGTTACCATGGCTACCCCAGGAGATGATCAGATATGCTTAGAATCTGAGTGGCACCTTAACTCCAGGAAATCACCACCATCAAGCCCTCCTTCTTTTCTGAAATGTCATGAATATTTTGCTACTTGTAAATTGTTCCCTCTTCTAAGCCTATGTAACCTGGATTGGGTAGAAATAATACTGCTCTCTCCGACGCATACTTATACTTCCTTTGAGTATATGCTCTTTCTGTTAGTAAACTGCCTATCTTAGAAATAATGCTACTCTTTGATCCCCAAGTAAACACTATCCTTTAATAAACTTTTTCTGCAGTATTTCTCTGACTCATGCTTAAATTCTTCTCTACAGAGCTGGTCACCAGATCAGGCCTGACCACTTCAACCACAACCAGACTATTTCTACAAAAAAAGAGGAAATATACTGACTGGGAAGGAGGAGTTGGCTCTCTTATCTCTTCCTTTCAGATAGAGGCATGATCAAAATGTTAACTAAAATTAAATATCACTGTGGCATTGAGGAAAGGAAGAAATTTTCTTCTTGTCCCCAAAGCTTAAATTTAGAGTTTCTTTGATGAAAAAGCTAACAGAGAGAGAGTTCTGATGAACTGCTTTCTTATTCTCCCAATGGAAACCCCAATTTACATTACTCTGATAATAAGTAGACAATAATTAATAGGAGAATGTTTATATCATATTAACAATTTCAAAGTATTCAGGCATTTTATCTCTCATAGTTATATGATAATTTCTAGTACATTGGCTAAATAAGAAAGATGCTTATCCTAAGAATTACATTCAGATGGTTATCTAAGAATTACAATAACATTAAGAAGAATGTTAGGTGCCCATTATAACAGAAACCCAAGCACAAAAATTTGTAAATCTACAACTGTACCTCATGATGTTTCACTAATAAA